AAAACATTTAAAGTTTATATCATTTACACATGAAAACATATCCTAGTAACCAAATAAAAGTTGTATTTCGCGGTCTATGGCAAAAACCTTGTATGGCCATAGAAACAGTTTTTGATTAAAGGGATGGATTTGATTCTCAACCACGGACCAGGTGTGAGATCAAACTTTCTCTTTGAGGATGTCTTTCTCACAAAATGCATCAACAAAAACATGTATATTTGTTATATTATTTAACATAACTGAGCAAACCGCTTGTTAATGCTAAGTGGGAACTATATCTTAACATTTTATGTTAATAGCTGTCATTATAAATAGTGGTCGAATAGCCCAGTCTAGGTACTTCGAATTTGGTATTTGTCCAGAGCAGATATATACTTATGTATTGAGTAATAAAATGTGAAACATCAGTGTGTTCTCTCTCCGTTATACGACAGGGGATACAACAATATTTTGATATCCGAAGTACTGTGTCCAATTTCTCATATTATACTGCGCTTTGTTTAAGCCTCGTTTTTTCTCCGTTACATGGATACTTTTGTAATGGTTTGATATTGTAGCTTCATTTTTACTTCAACATGGTTTCGTTTGTGGCGTTTTCATAATGAAGTATCATTTTCATTTTTATAATGATACATTTGCCTTGTTTTACCATTACATGAAATACTTTTGTAAAGTTTTCCTTATTGCAGCCTGGTTTTCAGTGTCACATTTCCTTATTGTAGCCTCGTTTTCATTATAATAGGGTACTATAGTGTCTTTTCCTGCGTTTAACTGTAACGCGAATACGTTTGTAACGTTTCCTTACTGTTGCCTTGTTTACACTGTAACGCGGATATGTTTGTGACGTTTCCATACTGTTGCCTTGTTTTCACTGTAACGCGGATACGATTCTGACGTTTCCTTACTGTAGCCTCGTTTTCACTGTAACGCGGATACGTTTGTGACATTTCCTTACTGTTGCTTCATTTTCACTGTAACGCGGTTACGTTTGTGACGTTTCCTTACTGTAGCCTCGTTTTCCCTGTAACGCGGATACGTTTGTGACGTTTCCTTACTGTTGCCTCGTTTTCACTGTAACGCAGATACGTTTGTGACGTTTCCTTACTGTAGCCTCGTTTCCATTGTTACATGGTTACGTTTTATGACATTTCTTTACTGTTGCCTCGTTTTCATTGTTACATGGTTACGTTTTATGACATTTCTTTACTGTAGCCTCGTTTTCATTGTTACATGGTTACGTTTGTGACGTTTCTTTATTGTAGCCTCGTTTTCATTGTTACATGGTTACGTTTGTGACGTTTCTTTACTGTAGCCTCGTTTTCATTGTTACATGGTTACGTTTGTGACGTTTCTTTACTGTAGCCTCGTTTTCATTGTTACATGGTTACGTTTGTGACGTTTCTTTACTGTAGCCTCGTTATGGTTACGTTTGTGACGTTTACCTTCTGTAGCCTCGTTCTCATCGTAACATGGTAACGTTTATGACGTTTTCTCCCTGTAAAGCACGTTTTCACTATTACATGGATTCGTTTGTGACGTTTCTTTACTGTAGCCTCGTTTTCATAGTTACGTTTGTCACGTTTCCTTTACGTGGCCTCGTTTGTATTGCAATATGGTTACGTTTGTGACATTTTCTAATTACATGTATATTCTCGTTTTGATCGAAACAAGGACACGTTTGTGAATGGTTACTCTATTTCCTGATTTACATGAACACGAACACGTTTATGACATTAAATTATTATCTCATATTCTCCCTTATATGTTTTATCCTCTTTTTCCTCGTAACACTGATACATTTGTTAACTTAATGTATCGTAGTCTCATTTTAACTTCACCATGGTTTCATTTTTGATGTTTCTAAATTATTTCGAAGCAGAGTTGTTCGTTCCTCACATATATCACATCTGCAATATGCTGAATGACAAGAATCTTGTCAAAACGTAACATTTTTTTAACACTTTGACTTTAGATATGAGACCATAGATAAATTGCACAAAGAGAAGCACGTTGTAAAGATATGATAAATTTTATCATCATTTTTATTGGAACTTTTGTCATGTCCAAGTATGCAGATGATGTCATCACGCAGATGCAAACAAAAAACTTGAAAGTGATTTTAATATAATTTTGATATGTGGTAGAAACATTCCTGTTTGGACCTCTGTCAGTTTGGAGGCAGTTGCCTTATTCTGGCGACATAAATCGCAATATTATTCATTTCCAAAATGTTAACATACGAGTATGTCAGTGCGGTTGGGACTACTTTCTGAGCCAACTATACTAAAGCGAATGGAATAGATTATATTTTTCTTATAAGTTTCGTTTTCATCGTTACATAGATATGTTTGTTACGCGTTTTGTTAAAGTCTAATAGATTCTAGTACATTTGTTACGTTTTGTCATTGTAGTCTCGTTTGCATTGTAACATGCCGTTTGTGAAGTTTTCTTGTTGTTTTCTTGTTATTATCGTAACATAGTTACGTTTGTAACATCTTCTTCCCGTAGTTTCATTTTCAATGTTACATATATACGTTTGTGACGTTTTCTTATTGTAGCCTCGTTTTTATTGTAATTGAAACATGCTCACGTTTTTGACGTTTTGATATTGTAGCCTCGTTTTAAAACTGACATGGTTACGTTTGTGACGTTTTCTTATTGTTGCCTCGTTTTCGTCGTTACACGGTTGCGTTTGGGACGTTTTTTTCTTTAGCCTCATTTTCACTGTTTCATAAATACGTTTGTGACGTTTTCTTACTGTCGCCTCGTTTTCAGCTCTAAGTTTGCGTAGCATCGCTTTCATCGAAACAGGGTTTGTTTAAGTCACGTTTTCATCAGAAAACGAATGCGTTTGTGAATGGTAATATTATGTTCTCATTTACATGTATTAAGTTGTTGTCTTATTATCACCCTTTGATGATTTATCTAACGACAAATTGGATGTATAATTCAATCGATATTTGAATTATTCTTAATTTGTCGCACACAAGAAAAAATGAACATTCGGTTCATGCTTATTGAATAATCATTATTAATATATACATCTAGATATCTAATACATACGATTTTATGTCTGGTTGCTTTTAAACGTATTATGACATAATTCATGGAGGATATTCAAGTGTTTTCTATAAATACAGGATTTATTTTCATCTAGTGGCAAGACAATGATTATTTTATGAGTGGCGGTAGCCATGAATGAAATATGATAATTTCCATACCACAAGATGATAATAAATCCTGTATTTATAGAAAAAAAACTTGAATTGTCTGTTTATCATATAGATTTCTCTTCTTTTTTTTGACATTACAATTTGAAAGAATTCTCCTTAAATTATGTGTATTGTCTGAATTTAGAAGAAAGTAGTCCGGCAAGACAGCAGTGAAAATACGGAAAATATATTTCACTACAGTGAAAAATAGCTTTTTACAGTGAGAATACTAAAATTGAAAATACGCATTTTATTTCATCAGTATTTCACAATATTTCACTTATAAGTATATGATAAAACAATTTCTTTTTGGCTTGATTTTTAGTTTCTCTATTTTTTTCATGGGTCAGCCTATAACCTCTATATGTAAACGGATAAAAGAATACCTCTATTTATTTATTTTTATTCATTTTTGTATTTATTTATTTATCTAATTGTTGCTGTTGTTGTTGTTTTCTAGTGGGGGAGTAAGCAGTTGACAGTATGCAATTGACAGTAAGCAGTTGACAGTAAGCAGTAGGCAGTTGGTTTTGAACAATAGACCTCTTGGTCCGTATGCGGACACCTCAACCACATCGCTAAAGGGTTTACCCAACAGCAAGGATGTTGGAAGTGGCCTATATACCACTGCACTATATTGTGCATGACCTCCAGAACGGCAACTATTTCGGCAACTGAATAATTTTTTGACCAATACAGTTGTAATAGGTCGTCCATTTTTATTTTAATGCTATAAGCAGTGAATAATAAGTAGTAAGCCGTAAGCAGTTGACAGTAAGCAGTTGACAGTAAGCAGTAGGCAGTCAACATTTGGCAATTCCATAGTATATTGATTCATTAATGTTCCCAAAGAAATATTGAGATAAATATAAAAAGTTATGAAAGTATAACAATTCTGTCATAAACCTAAATCAATACACCGCATAGTTACGAATATCGATCAACAGATCAATTGGGTATTATTTAATACTTACATGTAGTAAAGCCTATCTAGTCAGATTATGAACAGGTATAATATAAAATATATATTAAGATATAGTTCCCCTTAGCATTAAGAAGCGGTTTGCTCAGTTATGTCAAATAATATATTAACAAATATACATGTATATCCAAATGTTTTTGTTGATGCATTTTGTGAGAAAGACATCCTCAAAGAGAAAGTTTGATCTCACACCTGGTCCGTGGTTGAGAACCAAATCCATCCCTTTAATCAAAAACAGTTTCTATGGCCATATAAGGTTTTTGCCATAGACCGCGAAATACAACTTTTGTTTGGTTACTAGGATATGTTTTCATGTGTAAATGGTATAAACTTTAAATGTTTTAACACTTACTTTTTGTTTCAGTTCCATCTGTTACTTTCTTACCAAGTGCGACATTTAGCGTCAAGGGGTTGCGACATTTAGCGGCAATCGATTTTTGTGCGACATATAGCGGCAACGTTGCGACATTTAGCGGTAGGCGATTGCGACATATAGCGTTGATTGCGACATATAGCGTCAGCGTTGCGACATTTAGCGTTAGTTGCGACATATAGCGGCGTTGCGACATATAGCGTTGCTACAATGTATTCTGACAATACTACTATGCACGCATCAAATAAAATCATACCAGTGATTCAGTGAACCAAACAATGTGATGTTGAAAATATAAGTAAATGATGTAAACTGAATAACATCCCCAAAAAGACCACTTGTATGGTAATTGGGCCAGAAAAGAAATTAAAATCCAAACCTTCATTAGTTATAAATATAGAAGGTATATGCCTAAGTCAAACGAAATCACAGAAATTATTACGTATTTATTTAGATGGAAGCTTACAATGGAATATATAAATATACAAATAAAGTATGTCTGTAATAAATTACAAAAAAAGAACAAATTGTTCTCTTAAAACGTATAACCTACTTTTTATCAGCTGAAATGAAAGAAATGTTTTACAATAACTGTAGTTTACCTTGTTTTGATTATTGTTGTATTATATGGAGCACTTTCAACAAAACTGATTTTGAATTTCGCAGCTAAGATTAAATTGTTAAATAACCAGTTAAAACGCCATCTTTTCAACTATTCCATAACTTAAAGTGTTTAACTTTTGAAAATAGATGCACGTCGCATACTGCATTCTTCATTTCAGATATCCTAGTGTCCTCGAAAAATTAGACATAAACACTTAGATCAACTACTAATAGAAACATAATACATGTACAAAATACAAATGTATGTTACAAGAATTTTTAGAAATAATGCTATGCAAGTTAGGGATAATTTACATTTATATATTAAAGAATCTCCGTCTCTCTGTGTATTCAAAAGAAATATGAAAAAATATTTACTTGATATCAAACTAAAATGAATCGGAAGAATGCATGTGTCTGTCCATTTAAATGTTTGTTATTTATATTTTATATGTATGTTTCTTTCCCTTGTTTAATAGAAGGCCATATTCTTAATAGGACATGTATGTTTCCGTTTTCTCTTCAGTTAGGTTTATAACATGCAAGATGAATCAAGCAAATAATTATGTTGATCCAATTTAAAAGACCACAAAACCTTCATAATTTGTCAAGCTTTCGCGCTATCTAGTTTCACGTGCACATGTTCTTCTTTGGCGGTTAGGGGCGGTGCTTGGATATCAGGTGGCCCGTAGATTTCCGAATAAGCCGGTGGTGCCATAGGAATGTTTTCATACGAAAAAAGTTCGGCTGGTTCTTGGTAGCTGTATTGTTGCCCCGTTGTTTCTGGAGCTGTTGGGAAAATATTCCTGGAAGTCGAAGGGTTTGTTGCTTGCATTGTCTGGTACACTCCTCCCTGCCCAACACCATACATCGGTTGATTGTACCCCTGGTGTTGGCCTGTAGAGCTCACTACCACAGGGCTCTGTTGATACTAAAAATAATATCAGATTATTAAAGAACAAAAGGAAGTTAAACCTACACTAACAATGCAAACAAATATTCTTCTTCATAAAAACACGACTGTAGATGAATTTATGACATAATGTAATGGAATCATTTGCAATCTCTATATATTATACAAATTATCATTTTGAAAAGGTTATCCACGGTGTATAACCAACGCGGACAATGGCTGTCAAAAACGCGTTGCTGAGACCTGCAACGGACAGCATTCGTTCCATTCTCGATAGAAGAGACATATATCACAAAAGATAATGTGATTTCGAATTGAGAGAAGTAATTATTTGAAAAAAAAAGAAAAATACTACAGCCCTCTGCTGTATTGTTTTCAATATACATATAAATTATAGTATTATGTTATAAACCTACATGTATTATAAATAATATAATATCTGTAATTAAGACAACATTCAATTTTTAGCAGTTTTTTTTTTTGTTTATTTCCTTATTTTTATTATTTTTTTTTATTTTATTGGGAAGGGAAGCTGTTGGTTTTTTTTTACAAATACCGTAATTCATTAATACACGTACCTGATTTTCGACCGTCGATTTCCTGATTGGCCGTTTACAACACAAACAGCAGACGATGATGCATGTGATAAACCCTAGCAGACACAGACCACCAATTGTTGCGCCAATAATAGTCCCCGCAATCCCACTGACGTCATCACCACAATCGTCAGACTCGTCATCATCACACGCATTAGCATCTGGACCAATATCGTCGCAGTCAATACCTTTGTTGATACAGAGGGAATTTTCACATTTGTGTGAATAAATTGGGCACGAACCTGAAACTTTGTACAATTAGATATGTATGAGTTGCATGAGATACGAGGTGATACCAGTTCAAGATGAATATTGAATTTTGCTTAAGCCGGTGCTAGAGGGCGTGGATAGTAGCTTGCAATTACAATGTACCCATCCCCTCCACGAATAGGCTAAATCAAACCGAGACTGTAATATTTTCAATTTTGCTGTGTTTGGCTTTCTTAAGGGATTCCGTTTTTCTTTATTGAAAAGATAGAAAAAGAAACAATCTCTTCCGTGTAAACACTGATATAAGTTCTGATTTAAGTTATTTTTACGCGTCGAATTATGCACATACATTTGCTTTATATCGTTAGTGGCCCAACGGGTCAAACGTTTTTTCTCGGATTTGACAGAATAGAATTGCTTCCGTGACGTTTTTGGTTAACACACATAATGTAATTGTTCTAATGCTGCTCTTGCAAATCATTTCTATTGTAATGTTTACAGTAACTTGCATAAAAATCAGGTTATACGTGGAAAGTCCGAGCGGGGTCTTCCTCGAGGGTTGAAGAGCTGTAAGTTTGATTGTATGACGTGTATAAGTTAAAATGAAACTCATTAAAATCAATAAGAATATATTTCTAAGTCTAACAAATTTGAGAAAAATCCTTAGTTAACTGGGCGCCGCCATTTTGAAAATCTTGGAAGCTACAATTAGATTTCAAGACGCATTTGATGACCAAGAACGCGCGCAAAGCACTATAATTATAACAAGTGACTGAAAGACTTTTACTTGCCAATAGCTAGGCAAATGAATAATTATGCCAGAAAAATGCGCCAAAATTATAAAGATGGTTTAACGGGGAAAATATTAATTTTCTTACGTACGTAACTTACCATCATCTGTGAAGGCTGTTATTGTTATAGAAAACACATCCTTTATATACTGCACCCTAGTAGGTACATATTTAATACGTAGGTATGGAGAATCAACCCTGAAGGAACCTCTTTGTGTGGTTTTCCCGCAAATATTCTTCTCCAGTCCTGGGGTAAAAGAAAACTATTTTAGATACGTGTAAAATATATATATTTTAAAGAAGCAAACCGTAGGCTTATCATAAGTCATCATTTCAGATTTTAAAGCTAGAATTTATTATTTATTATATTTACTATGTTTCAAAGTGTCAATAAGATCATCTCCACTAGTATTTGCTTTTTATCGGGTGAAAGGTGAATATAATCATAAACGCTTGACAAGTCATGCTGTTTACTAAAAATAGAATGATTACGTAGAGGATATATTCTTTATACAACTACAAAATAATGATAATAATAATAATAATAATAATAATAATAATTAAAAAAAAAATAATAATCAATATATTTATAATAATGATAATAATGATAGTTCAATAATATTTGTTTAAAGACTTATATAAATACACCATCATTGCTGTGCGGTCTTTTTCAACGTAAAATTTCAGCCATTTAAGTTTATTAAAAAGGTCAAATTTTGGTGAACTATCGGCCTGTATAACCTGATTTTAACGGTTAAAATGCTATATAACTCGGGACGTGAGTGGATGGTTATATAGTAAATAACTGTTTTAGATATGGCCATATAAACTGTCATTCTTACATCGAACTTGTAATACAATGTACTCCACGTTCTTTTTCTATTTTTTTATTTTTTTTTTTTTGATAAAACGAATCATATTTTTAAGTATCTGCGTAGATATTTAAAACATAAATTTCTTGATTGTCCAATGGAAATCGACGTTACAAACTTGCAATATCATAATTCATTCAAATGCAAACAAACTAGGAGTGCAATAATAAATATTGAACGATCGCTTTTCTTTCAATTTCAGCAATAAAAAAACATTCAATTGCACGAAGTTACCTCGAAAGAAATCGTAAAATAATCACATGTATATTGATCGATTTCATGTATCTAAATTACGTATGCTGTTTGTCTAAATTTCATTTAAGTTCATATTTATTTCATTTATTTATAATTCATATTTTTGTCAACTCTGTGTTTTCCTGCAATAATATCACTCGTTATGGATTACGGTACACTTTTGTGCATGACCCTTTTTTAAACCAGCATTATTTTTGTAGAACTATCTTAATTTCATTATTTAACTAACTTACCCGGTACTCGTGTTTCGCTTGTCTGACCAACGTAAAGTTCTAGATGACCATTCTTGCAGTCAAGGTCAAGGTCATCGAAATAAAACATCAATTTCGGATATGTACCATACCACGCTAACACAGTAATCTCGCAGGAGCGCTGCTGCTTCGGGTTTGTCCAAGGATAGATGTTGGTGTATATATTGTTATCAGTCAGTTCGAGCTCCAGCTGATAGGTAGCTTTAAGGGACATGCTCAGTTGTCGGCCGCAATAGTCTTCCATCTTGTCTGAGGAGACATTGTAAATAATTTATCAGATGTTACTCATATAAAGAACTTAAAGCATATAAGGATTATATACAATACAAAATATTGTACCAAACCTTCACGCATGCGTCAAGTATCGTATGTTTACAATGTCTATTTATCGTCTGCGAATGGCTTACTGTACTAGAATTTCTGTCGGTTTGACTTTCTGTAAAATTTACAGGGAAGAACTTAATATTAGAACGATTCTCATTGGTCATTTAAAATTACAAACTGAAATCCGGGACTCTCTTTGGCTATAAGCCATTCTAAAATTAGTATAATAATCTAAAGGATCTTTCTGAAACGTATACACGTCCAAATAAAACAATAATCTAAAGGAGTATCGGAAACAAAATTTCTGGTTAAATTTTTTGAATGTTTGAGATCTAATAAATGTTTTATTCAACATAAGGATTTACAGAGTTATAAATGACATTCTAAAATGACGAAACTACCAATGACGTCCACGATCCCGGAAAAACAAGTGCATCCGAAAAACACAATGCAAGTAAACGCAATTTTACCTCGTCCGAGATACTTCTTGTTATATGTAACATAATTCTTACTCGGATCACTCCATTGTTGTAATGTTGTAAGTTTTTTTTAAATTAATTTAGCTTGTATTATAAGTGTGTATTTTGGATTTTCAAAATTGTCTTCATATATCTAGTATTCTAACACTCACGTGATTTTGCCACTATAGACAAAGAAGGAAAAAAACTGGTGTTAAACTGCCAATAAACACCGGTTAGGGACTACTTGTATATGCGCTGTTATGTTTTCACCCTCGATTGTATAGTTTACAAAGCCTTTTAAAGCAACAATAAAAAGCATTTTTATCTATATTTTCAGTTCGTATAATGTTTTCTTTTCATACAATACCGAAATAATATCTCACATACACTAACGCCACATAATAGATCCATATCAGTTAATAAATATTTTGATAAAACGGCGCCAAGCCGTAAGCAGCGTAATGACGTCATCCTAAGTAATCAACTCATTCATAAACAAGCTGACGTTATTTCATACATACAAGAATGATAAATTGGGCACTGATGTAAACTCAATACGACGTAAGTTTTTTTTGTTGAAAACTTGATAAAATAACGTTATTTTCTTCTTTTTATTTCTTTTGTTTAATTATTTCTATATCTTCGCAATAGTAGGGTGCGAAAATCGAACAGCATTATACGAAAATCGGCGCCGGAAGTTATTTCCGCTTGAAAAATAACATAAGAGATTGTCCTTCTTTTATCGTGTTAGAATCGAAATAACATCGGCCTGAGGGGTGTATATCGGCTATTTAACAACGGTTTTGTCGTTTTGATGCGACAAAATTAACCACTCAGGCCTACGGCCTTCGTGGTCAATTCCTGCGCATCAAAACTCCAAACCGGTGTTAAATAGCCGATATACACCCCTCAGGCCGATGTTATTTCTTAATTAAATTAACAAAAAATTGGCCGAAGGTTATGTCGGGAGGTGTACCGGGGTGTAGTATTAATCATCCCTATCTTACATAACAAGAATGTTAATATAACATTTGTCGTAAATCTGCTACATGTATATTAAATCATGCACGTAACATTCTGAAAACGTTTATCATTATCAGGTTACTAATGAATATTCATAGTCATGATATTTAACAAGGGTTGAAGTCACGTTAAGTCAAATAAGACATTAGCATAGACATATAAACATGATTGTGATAAAATGCGGAGAGTTAGTATCTTTAGTAAATAAACAAAGTCGGTGAGCTTGCCGGAGGAGGGAAACTGTAAATTCCACTTATTTCAATAAATTACCCATATTAAAAAGTACAATGTATATTTGACTAAAACCTCCCAGCACTTCACACTTTGTCTTTTCAACGAGGGGCTTCTAAGGTCACTGGCTTCGAACAACTTGCCCATTACCGATGTGGCGGGTTCGATTAATGTGAGGAAGCCATCCAGCTAGCTTACGGAAGGTCGGTGGTTCTACTCGGTACTTTCTATTGCCTGAAATAATTCAACCCAAGGTAGCACTCATCCGCAAGTCGCAGTATGGCTTTTATAGTGTCAGGGTCACCAATTATGAAAAGCGTTCATTCAAGCCTTGAACAGTTCTACCCTTCAAAGCAAGACAGGCATAATTATTGCCCTAAATAAGAACAATACTTTCATGATGAAACAATTTTGTACTGTTTGTCCATGTAAATTCATGGCTCTGGCATGTATAAATTTGTTTGATCAGGGTTAACCGGAAATGGGGTTCTTATTAACGTGTTATGTTCTACCTTTGAACAATTTATATTTTGCTTTTGAAATACGTAATCTTTACACGCAATTTATGGAATTAAGAAAATGAAATAAATAAAAAATGTTAATGACGTAAGCGACACATTTTGATATTGATATGTAATTCTTAAGTGGATACATTATAACTGAAATATCTCCCAAAACGACCATTTGAAACATGATTTTATATCAAATGCTTTAACTGACTTTAATTGAATTAACCGAGTGTCCAACTATGTATAGGTTAGAGTGCATATTGGGTGTTCTTCGTAAATAAGAAAGCTAAAAAGGAGCGGAGCTTGCAAAGCGACTGTAGCTTTCTTATTTACGAAGAACATCCAATATATGCAGTCTAACCAGCTTAGTGCTCCGCCCACTTGCGTTTTATAATATAAAACGTCCAGTTTATATAAAATCTGTTCTATTAAGATTTGAAACCTGAAAATTTGAAAAATCCTCGTCGGTGATATGCTTAAAAAAATTGGCGAGCACTAAATTAAAGGAATTCTGAACGCGTGGGTTCAACCCCTATCAGGGGCAAGCCGTTGTTTCCATGAGAAATAAACTTAACACTCATTGCTTCGTACTGACAGATTCGAGAGTATTTTAATAAGTTTATAGCTTCCTACACAATCGATTAAAGATGAATTATTGTAAACTGAATGACTTAGCCATGCATCTAAGTATTTAACTATATTTATACTGAGTCTTTTGTATGTTTCTTCCCAATAAAAACAAGTGTACGTATAAATTCAATTAAGTTTTGCTGTTTACCGTTATTCCTAACCTATTTTCTAAATTAAGAAACATTTATAATTATTATTATTAAAGCATGTTTCATGAAATAAATAAAAAATACTTACAATCGTGTCGCGCATTAATCAAAGGTAGAAAAAGTCCGAAAATTATAAACGTTACTGTCCGGGACGCCATTGTGTTTTGATAAAACATATGACGATATTCAATACAGGTTACCCTATCTTAACGGGTAGAGATTTACGATGCAAGTAAATAAACAAATAAAGGGTATTCAAAAGGTAGGCTTATCAGTAATTGTGAATTTATTGCCCGTAGAAGTGATGTGAGTAATAACAGCGTGCACGTGATTGATACAAGTTCTATTTGTAGAAATATATGTCAAGTAAAACATGAAATAAAAGTTCATTAAATGTGACAATGAATAAATCTGACAAATTATGTGGAATTTAATTCTTACACATGCACTAAAAACTCTTTAATGATATCATTATTTAAGATGATAATGATGATGCTGATGATAATGATGATAATAACTATAATTATAATGATTGTGCTTCATCATAATCATCATCATAATCATCATCATCATCTTAATCAACATCATCTTTATTGTCATCATCTTAATCATTACCAACTTCACCATCATTGTCATCATTTTCATCATCACTTTCATCATCATCATGTTTATTGTCATCATGCATCTCTATCTTTATTGCCATTATCTTAATCTTCATCATCATCAGCATCATCTTTATTGTCAACATCTTCATCATCATTTTTATTGTCATCATTTTCATCATCACCGTTATTGTCATTATCATCATTCATAATCATCATTTTTATTGCCATCATCTTATTCTTCATCATCATCAGCATCATCTTTATTGTCAACATCTTCATCATCATTTTTATTGTCATCATTTTCATCATCACCTTAATTGTCATTATCATCATTCATAATCATCATTTTTATTGTCATCATCTTCATCATCGTCATCAACAACATCTTAATAAATATCATTATCACCTTCTTCTTCTTCTTCTCCTTCTTGCAAGCCTTCTGTTATTTTCTAAATCTTATTGTTCTATAGTTTATAGAATCAAAGGAAAATGTTTCTATTTAGAGTTCTTTAGATACTTGTAATTTTGGAGATTTATCGGACTGGGTTTTATTGTGTGTGTTTATGTCCGATATTATCTTTAAATTAAGAGTGTTCTTCGACGGAGGTCTTTACATATCTATTTGGAATTTATTGGTTTGTGTTGAGTCTAATACATTGAATCGACTTCATCTCTTCATTCTTCAAAAGCAGGATCACACAGAATGTGTGTTTATTTTAATTTTAATAGTACAATATACCATAAATAGTATTTGCTAATAAAAGTAGTATTTCACATAAAACTGAATTTGGAACACCTCGACGATAATTCGTAATCACTGAAATGGACAATCAAGTAAAGATACAAGAAAATTTATTTTACGTCGGATACATTTAAACAGAAAACACTAGCTCCGACAAACAAAAGTATATCAACTAAACAAAAGTAAAGCAGCTAAAAAAACCGCAACCAGCACTCACAACTTTTCGGCCCTTTTCCGTCAGTTTTCGGATAAGGATATTATAGATACAGAAGTGGACGTTTCGATTGTGAAATAGTTTTACCACGTGACTTTTGTTTGCAAACTAAAACACAAGGCTGTGATGGTAATAGCATGGATGTATATTATAAAACTTCCCTTGTAACAATGACATCTGCCAAAAAATCAAGTCTATGTCAGTCATATTTTGATTAAAAAATATGCCTGACAAATAGAATAAGTTTTGAAACACACGCCGAAATACAATTATAATCAACATCAAAATAATGTATTCAGGTATACATTTTGTCCTTTTAGTTTTATCAAATATCATAAAATTATGACACATATATTTTTAATATGAACTGTTTATTTTTATAACTTTAAGTCAATTTAGATGGACTTTTCATCATACTATGGAATAAACTTAGTCAACAACTTCCACCATTCACTTACTATTTTATAAACATACATTTTGCCGAAATAAATACCGTTACCTTTTTGTATATTCTTGGTATTGTGTTCGAGGTCGTTATCCGAAGATTGACGGAAAGGGCCGACAAGTTGCGATTGTATCTTCACATTTGTAAGGGTTGATTTTGTAAACAATTATTCTTATATGTTGTTTCAAATTTAAAGATGTAAATGTATTAATAGAAAGATAAAATACTTAAGTTTAAATTTTACCTTTATTGCATACACAATGTATAGTTTTCAACGAAATAATGGTTGAAATAGCTAAATGTGTTGATACTGAATGGAACGTCAGGGGAGATAAATGGAATTAAACCTATTCCACTGTTCCACATGCAATGTTTTCATAATAACTCTTAGAAAAAAAAGCTATAGGTTAGTGTGTTATAAATTAAAAAAAAATCGTTTCAACAGTAATACCGACATCTGAATGAAGGTAGTCTTATGAGTGATTGTAAATAATCTAATGCCCAAGATTTTGAAAAAATAACGTTGCGGAAATAACCGTTTTGCTACGATATAATAATATTTGGCGGAAAAGCATTAACAGAGACTAACTTAAGCCTTTTCTTGTATGATTAATTCTGATTTTCGAATTGGGGAGTTGTACTTACCTCTTCTAGTTGCAGCTTGCCTCTCTAAGATTAATTCCTTCCTTTACCATTGCAGAGTAATTGCAACTAAATAAATCTTATTTGTATATTATTTTTTTGAGCAAGTAAAAAGGTGTGCAATATATATGTCGAAATATTGTAAAGGATATTGTTTTGTTATTTGTAAACCTATGTCATAAAACTTATGAAATTCTGCATACAAGATTGGAATAAATTGAACTTACACGTGTGTAAATTGTTGTTTATTTTAAAGGAGCATTATGGGAACGCTTGGAACAGACCTCGTATGGAGAAGCGTAAAATGTCAAGGGCTCGAATTCTTCTGTCCATGTTCTGTTTGGTTGCTTAAGTATTAAATTTAAATTATATTTAAGCATTACTTACTATCATAAGCCATAATTATCTTAGATATAATCTGAACCTGAACTTATATTTATTGCGGGAGTTTCAGGTGCGACATTTCATACGATACATTTATCGCTGCACATATTTAGCGATATATCGATGGATATATCGCTGGATATAATGGATTAGCAGCCGTGTCATTATTTTGATTTACTATATAACATGTTTACGTTACGGTCATATATTGTACGCATTCGGCATTACTATTTCACAAAACCTGTGTAAACTATATATGGTGGTTATTTTGACCTTCCTGTGTTGAGGGATGTACATATACAGTGTTTATAAGAAGATTGAAAACCTTAAATAAAAGCATGTGTTTGGATAAAATCAAATATTAATGAAAATAAATAACCAATTTCTGTTTGTTTAGTAATAACAAGTGTTTTCAACTGGTTTTTATCTATAAAATCTGCAATTCTGATATAAATATCTGTGTTATTTGAATGCGTTATCACTATTCTGTTGTTAAAAGATTTCAAACTGAAAGGAAAATGTAACTTGATTTGTGTAGCACCAGAGTGAATAAAATGAATACAAGTACGAAAATACGATGAAAATGAATTTTTTTTATAAAACATTACAAAATGATATATATCACAGCTTTTTCCAATTTCCCATATTTTTTACCCCATTAAGATACAAATTGTTAATTTTGAATATATCTACGTAGTCTGTTATTGTCCAGTATAAAACTAAGAGGCAGTTTTACACATGAATAAAAAAAATGATGCAAGTTTATCAACATTTCGCTTATTGTTATGGGATACATTTTGTTCTTGATGTTTCCCTAGATATTGAGGTACAATCTTTTGTGAGTCACACAGGTTAGACATATTCTTATAGTCATTCAGTAGCTCTTATACTGAATATTTCATAGCATTGTATCGTGATGACGTAGTTTACATATGACGTTGTTTTGTTATGAAGGCACATTGTAAGTGCCTGCAGCACTTTGATTATTGATGTTGTTGTCAGACGGTACAGTTGGATACATTGCAGAGCTGGCAGGATACGGCGTACCCTGATTTTGTATAGTGACGGGCTGTTGTTGTCCCGGGGGTATGTTGTAATTGACTCCGTACATAGGCTGATTCACTCCGTACATAGGTTGACTGAATCGGTTCTGGTTCTGTGCGGAATAAACAACAACAGGTGCACCTGTATTCTGCAATAAACGAGAGAACAAAAATGTGTTAATGTTGTATAATAAGGGCATTATAGTCCATAATTACTAAATAACTTGGTATTGACTTGCACAACAACTCATAAAAGTACCATGAAACTATTTATCTGTAAATGAATTGTTAAGTTACTGTATAAGATTGATATTTTTGAATAGATTTTTTAACAAGAGAGCCGTATGAAGTGTTCTTGCATTGCAGACTGGCGTTTCCACGAACCGTCTATGCGCCTAGGATGACATCATTTTGTCGTTGTTATTAAAGTTGTGAATTCATACGCTATTGAAAGAAAATAGTTATGGATGAAATGACATTAATTTCCATGAACAAATATCTTATTGAGACAAACCACTTTAAATATGAAATAATGTGGCAGAATATATGCAAGAACAATATCTGACACAGATCGGAATATCCCCGGTGGGGACGACACTTAATCTTCCTTGGCTGCTTTGGCCTTTCGTGCACTTCGTCTGGCTAATTAACGAGTAAAATGTAATGAAACAGTTATGCAGTTACTTAAACTATTGGTAAGGTAAACATTTATTCTTTTCTATTTTATTTCTAAATACATACCTACAAATGTTTCATCATTTGACATTTTTAGCCTTGTATTTATTACAAAAACGGGTTTCTTTCAATTTGCATCAATTTAATGAAAGTTAAATATGATTGACAATTGGTATTTATTAACAAAAGGATAAATGGACAACCATGGATTTCACTAAAGGAAAAGCTATCAAAAGTTTCCAAGCTAATGCGTCCGTTTGCAACCGTTTCATTCGCTCATTGTCCCTTGATTAACGCATAATTAAGACATCCAATTTCATATAACTTTTGGCTTTCCCTCGGCAAAATAGTAAGACATAAGGCAAGAAATTCACACAACATTATATACACGAAGTACTAGGAATATTGTTAAAATGAATACAAAGTTTGTTGAAATAAAATACCATAACGCCAGACCATTTCCAATCATTCTCCTACTGTGTGTTTATTACACATCT